AGCCATAAAAAAATGTTGCTTTATTTATCTGACCATATTGGAATGTATTTGTTAGGTTTTCAGTCAATTAAATTTGGTTCAATAAACAATATGTGGTCATTTTTAAAATTTTCAATGAACATTCGATCAGTCCGGCCCTCGGCTTGCAGCAATTTTTTTTATCTGGCCCTCCGTCCATTTGACTTTGACACCCCCGCGTAAAAGAAACACATTCATGAGATTATATAGAGACAATATGATAATGAGAGGCGGGGAGGTACGCCTCTCATGCAAATCTCAGAAACAAAGAAAGTAACATGTCATCTGACCCGGCCGGTGTGGCTGGAAGAAGTCGGGAGTGGTGAGGTGAGACCAGACCACCACGACCCACCATTTGGTGTGATGGCAGGAACACAGATACTTGAGATAACAGTTCCTCTTTTGATGTTAAACATGTCCTGTGGAGGTGGGCCCTAAAAGTGATGGGGGTCGAGGGGCACTAAAGGTGATTGTAAACACAGTGAGCAGAAAATACCTTCAACAGCATTCTACATTGTTGCTTTCAAGTGTCTGAACAAACACAACTAACAGAGAGGAATAACACCTGAGCCATCAAATCTAACTAAGAGAGGAATAATACAAGAGTATTCCAATTCTAGGAGATGATTGTTGCAAGGACGCCAAGCTACGCTGTGGGCATGGGAAGGTTATACAGCATGACTAAATATGAGCAGAATACAGACTTCACTGTCTATCTACCTATCTATCTATCTATCTATCTATCTATCTATCTATCTATCTATCTATCTATCTATACATGCATACATGGAGTGTGCGATATGGCTAAAATGTAATCTTTCATGAAGTGTTTATTGTGTTTGTCTTAACTGTATCAACATGTGTGTTATGTACCAATTGGTCAATCACAACCTTCGTCAGGATACGTGGTTTATTTATTGTGGAGGGATGTGTTGTATGGCTTCGAAAGGGGAAAAAATAGTTCACCACTCCCGCCACACGTGACGATGGCTGTGCATGTTTACAAAAGTACTTCTATTTTATCTATTGGTAAGTTTGGAATTATAGATATGGTCACTTAATGTCCTAAAACACACTATATGTGGACCGTCCGTATATACTTGAGAGCAAACACGGAAGTGGGTTTCTTGCGTGTGTTGTGTCGCGTCAGCAGCAGCTGCTTGTGTCCCTCTTCCCTCTCGCCCTCCGCAAGAAGATTGTCATCTGCTCGTTTTAACTGCCTATCAATACCATATATGGGCGGCACGGGGGTGGACTAGTTGTCCCCCTTGCCATGCAGCAGAGAGGTACAGGGTTCGATTCCGGACCCGGCTTTCCTGTGTGGAGTTTCCATGTTGTTCCCGTGCCTGCGTGGGTTTTCTGCGGGTCCTCCAGTTTCCTCTCACATTCCAAAAACATGCACCGTAGGTTGATTGAACGCTCTAAATTGTCCCAATTACGATTGTGTGCAAGAATGGTTGTTTTTCTATGTGTGCTTTGAGATTGATTGGCAACCAGTTCAGAGTGTACCCTGCCTATTTCCCGAAGACAGCTGGGATAGGCTTCGGCACAGCCGGGACCCTCGTGAGGTCGCCATTGTGGAGTGACGTCACAACGAAGTCGGTCGGTCCACTCTGCGTCTTTCTTTTCCCGACTTTTCAACTCAGACCTTACTGTTCAAAGCGGCGTTCTTGTGCACCTTTCCTCATCGGAAATCGGGAAGATAATAATCCATAAAGGTTGGGAATCACTCTGCTAGACATGCACCCCGCCCCCCCAAAAAATAAGCTTTCCAGTACTGTACTGTACTAGATATTAGGGATTTTACAAAGCAAAAACATCAGAAGAGGGTGTTACTAGTATTGCTATGGAAACTGTGCTGACGTGGACGAAATACCGCCCACTCTTAAGCTCCCCCCAGCCCTCACCGGATGAAAATAGCTTGATACATTGCAGTCTACGGTTAGAAGCCATTATAATTCACACTGTGATTTCCACGGCAAAGCTTCAAAGGGTTTTATTAGACACGGTTGTACCAGTTGTATTATATTATCGCATTTAAAAGAGTAGTTAAGTAGAGAGACGAAGTAATCAAGGGTTTTACGACGACTGCATTTTCTACCCAGGTTTTGAGGCGCGGAGGGATCTGACGATAGCAGAAGCTGAAGAGGGGGGGAGAAGTCGTCTACATCCGCAGGCATCGATTTCCCACTTTAATCTTGGTTTTACCGTCGGTGCTTGGCTTTTCTTCTTGGTCTCTGCCCTCATTTAGATGGCAAGCTTCCCAGACTCTATAAACGAAAATGATATAGGTAAGTACAACTGTCAACGTGTACCCTTTTCTTCTCTCTGGGCTCGGGCAGGGACCGACGAGTAAAGGCCTTCCCTACGACTCATCTGTTGTTGAAAATCGAAACAATTTACAATATAAGACAGGTTGTTGTGTAATTGCTTTAAAATTGCATATAGAAAGCTGCGTGGAAATTAAAGACTGAGTTGGTTTAATGAATTTTAATTTTCAGTCTCCGCGCTGCAGGTCCTACCTCCTTCGTGTCAGGAATGTGTGTCCACAAGTTGTATGGGTTAAATTTACTTTGATCAGCACAGCAACGGTGTGATTTTTGTTTTTTCTTTTTAATCATTAAACCGCATGAAATTATTAAGGTACAACGGACAAACTTTGCATCGGACGTGTCCCTCCCCCACACCAGCGTCGGGAGTCATATGCTCGCCTCGCTCGTGCTTGTTTCATGGTAGGCGTTCCACTATTTGACTTAGAAAACAATAATGTCCATTCAAACTCAAACCTAGTATAACTCTGAACAGGGTGGTTAGTTGAAAACTATACTATTACTACTACTACTACTACTACTACTACTAATCTAATCTAATTTTTAAATTAATGTTTTCCTCTTTTTATTATTAACCCCCTTCTTGTCCAATAAGATCATATTTTTGTGGGGCCCTAATCATTCTGGGAATTATTTTTGCATTTCACAAACCACAGAAAAATTCTTAAGTTGCATCACTGTTCAATGATTCAATTAACACGTCAAACTGAACGGCTTGTTCACGACTCCAGACAGACTGCAGGATATTGCAAACACAGTAAAAAAAAAGAGACGGAGAGAGAGAAAAAGGTACAGAGCAGTAATTTGAAACCCTGACGTGAAGGAAAAAAAGCAGGACCTCTGGGGCGACTGTTCTAACCATTTAGCTTCGTGCTGGCACATTCGTAAAACGCACGGAATTTGTACTTGTAGTTATCCCGTAATTCATGGCAAAATTGGCTTAAATACAATAAATAAATACAATGTGTCCTCATTCACACTGGCTCAATGTATTACCATATGACAAATACACTGAACAGTTGGTTATAATTTACACGTTGTTGTACATTTATTATCTCATCGAACAAATTAAACTTTTTTGGGGCGGGCGGGGCGTAACAATTGGAATCAACATGGAATCAACATGACTATTGCTTTTAACACCAAGGACTGAGGAGCGTGAAGGATGAGTTTTGGGCATTAATTATACTCGATGATGTTTATGAAATCTGCCTCTGATACTTAAAGGTAGCTAATTCTTGAATCTACATCAACCCGGGAGAATGTTGGCTTATTTGGACAGTCGGAAAGCGGCTCACGTGTTGTAATATTTTTAGCAAGATATGATGGAGCAAGCAGTTTTTGGTATTTTTCCCCACAAATTGTTTGTGTCCCCAATATCAAAAGCATTGGTGTTTATTCACTGGCTAAAGCCAACAGTTTACACTGTTTCAACATTGCATATCAAAGTTGACTCTGCTTATAGTTTACAGTAAATATTTAAGGGTGGGGCACTGATGACGGTGTCACAGAGATAGTTACAGAAAACATAAATCTTGTTTTCATTGCAGAACCTGTTTAGTTGTCCTTTTTTCAGAGTTTTGGTAACCCGTGACCCAACACTCCCCATTGTTGTGAAAGCGCTATATAAATCAGCATGTATTGTATTGTATTGTATTTATTCATTTCACGAGAAGCACCACAAACTATTTGTTCATGTTTTACACAACCATCTCACGAGATGAACTTTCATTTGACATTGTTGTCATTTAATGTTTAACACGTTTGCACGTTTACTGTACAGAAAGGCGGCATCTTGATGATAGGAATTCCTGACCTTTGAGCAGAAAAACAAATGTTCTAGAAATCACCTCAACCCCCCCCCCCCCCCCCCCCCCCCCTTTTTTTTTTTTTAACAGGTAAGGCGAAGTTCATTGGTGAACTCCTGGTGCCTGTTGCTCCCTTTGACCAGAAGTCTGGGCATGAAGCTTGGACTGTAGCGTTTGCACCCAATGGTTCTTACTTCGCTTGGTCTCAGGGGCATCGCATTGTCAGGCTCATTCCCTGGCCAAAATGTCTGACCAATTTGTAAGTATCATCTTAAACACTTCTTGGATGATAATTTTGTAGTACTTTTTGTCATTTTTTTTTTCAATAGGAAAAAAAAATCAGGGTTTCTCAACTTTGAGACTTTACATCATAATGTAATTCAAAGTGGTTCATTGCCCAGATCCAATGCATGTCAATGTCATTTGTGATATTCCTAAAATAGGTTTCTGGAATGTATCACTCTATCTAACTGATCATACAACTTGGATCTGTTCGTAAGGCACGGTGACCAAAAGCCTCAGTTTCTGCTTTAGATGAGCATACCAAAGTGTGATGCCACCATCAGCACTTGGTATGGTTTGTCATTTTCAATGTTGGAGAAAATTCTGACAAAGCAGAATGCTCCTTCAAGATTTGTATGGTGAAAGGAGTAATAGTCATAAGACACAAATGAAGAGGGAGCTGAAAGTACAATGTGTCTCTACACTTAAGCATGTCAGAGAAATAAGTATAATAAATGATTATCTTAACTGTAGCGTGTGCCTTTTGTCTCATTGAATAGTTCATGTTATGCAATTGTTTCTTTTTCAGTTCAGTGGGCCAGGATGGAGAAGGCACTAATGCGTTAAGTCCCCGACGCTTTTCCCGTCAGAACAGTGATGGAGGCCAGTATATACAGACAGCCAGCGATCCCAGAGAGCACACCATTGACTGCGGCGACATCGTCTGGGGTTTGGCTTTTGGCTCATCTGTGCCTGAGAAGCAGAGCCGTTGTGTTAACATCGAATGGCACCGGTTTAAATTCGGCCAGGACCAATTGCTACTGGCAACTGGCCTCAACAACGGTCGCATCAAAATCTGGGATGTTTACACTGGTGAGCATACTTGAAAATCAACATTTTGCACTGCAGAAATTCCTTTTGCCTGTAACTTGTCAAGGCTGAAACCAGAGCAAATTAATAATTGTTGTCTTTCTCCCTTGGCTGAGATCGTTGGTACACATGTATCCTACAAGCGGCTGTCCATGTGCCAGTCGAGATTTCCATTAATTCTTTGGTTTGATGGCATTTTGCAGGTAAACTGTTGCTGAATCTCATGGATCATTCTGATGTAGTGCGAGACTTGACCTTTGCTCCTGATGGAAGCCTCATGTTGGTTTCAGCATCCAGAGATAAGACCCTCCGTGTGTGGGACCTCAAAGATGATGGTGTGTTTTGATCTGATATTTCAGCTATGTCCTTTCTTGCAATTTATTTACACAGACCAAAAATATGACTTGTTTTTCTGACACCTTTTTAGCAGGGTTCCCGTGTGGTCTTAAAAAGTCTTAAAAGCATTGAATTTCTGTTTTTGGAAAGTTTTATGGCACACCGGTGATCAACTGCTTAGCACGTCGGCCTCACAGTGCAGGTCGTGGGTTTGATTCCAGCTCCGGCCTTCCTGTGTGGAGTTTGCATGTTCTCCCTGTGCCTGAGTGGGTTTTCTCCGGGTACTATGGTTTCCTCCCACATTCCACAAAGATGTGTGGCAGGTTAATGGAACACTCTAAATCACAGGTGTCAAATTCAAGGCCCGGGGGCCAGACCAGGTCCGCCACATCATTTTATGTGGCCCACGAAACCAAATCAAACGTGAAATTACAGGATGCTTGCAAATCTGTTAAAAAAAAAAAATCTGTACCAAAATTCATATTCTCATATGTAATAAATAAGAGAGATATTGTAAGCATTTTCTTGTTGCCAAACTCCTCATTATAATAACTTAAACACAAGTTGAAAAAAACGTTATTCTTCACTTCTTTATGTGGTTTCAGTCATAACGGCCCTCCAAGGAAAACGTTAACTAAAACGTGGCCCATGAAAAAAAACGGGTTTGACACCTCTGCTCTCAATTGTCCCAAGTTGTGAATGTGAGTGTGGATGGTTGTTTGTCTCCCTGCGATTGGCTGGCAACCAGTTCAGGGTGTCCTCCACCTACTGCCCGAAGACAGCTGGGATAGGCTCCAGCAGGCCCCGCAACCCCTGTGAGGATAAGCGGATCCGAAAATGGATAGATGGAAGTTTTGAAAAAGTCTTGAATTTTGATATGTGGGTCTTAAATTTTGTGCAGTATGTTGACCTGTCACGATAATTACTTTCCTGTACTTATCGCTTAATGAGAAAACAAAAACAACTCCAGTGTTCGTCAAACTGCTGAGACTTTATTTTTTTACACCCCTGCTTGGCTAGAGTAGACTACTCAATATTCTGTATTCTTAAATCCTGCACATATTCCACATTTCCATGTTTTTGAGAAATGCATTAAACCTAAATTGCCGGATTTTGTTTTTTGTTGCTGATATTACTGTGAAATAGGTTTAGGTTTAAAAAAAAAAAAAGTTAGGTTTGCATGTGTCCATTGGTTGATAGGCACACACAACTCTTTCTAATTCATTAATGAGTCGCAGTTGTGTACAATAGCTCTAATTCTAGCCAAGATGACGGCACGAATGGTTGTGTCAGTTAACTGCTATCTTCTTCGGTTCTCTTTTTGTACTATTTCACTGATTGTTTATGCACAATCGCTTCTGTGAACGTTCACCTACCAGGAACTAAAGCTGGCACAGAATACCTATTTCAAGTGCCGCAATTGAAAGTGAGATACTAAGTCTGTATCTCTCCAACGCACGATCTGTGGTGCATAGAGAGATTGCTGTGGAGAGATTGCAGCTCGCTTGAAATCACAGTCTTCACATAAACACATGAGTCTTGAGAGTAAATGAGGTTTTGTTGATAATGTGACTTGTTTGTTTAGGTAACATGGTGAAAGTTTTGCGGGGTCACCAGAATTGGGTCTACTGCAGCGCCTTTTCCCCTGACTCGTCCATCCTGTGCTCTGTCGGCACAGGCAAAGCAGTATGTAAACACGTTCCTCCTAATTCACCTTGAATCGATTTGCTAGCTTATTGTTGTGCTATTGCTTGTGACTAGCCATGCTCAATGAACCTAGAAATGGAATGAAATTCAACCCATCCCAGTATTGCTCACCTACACTCACACTAAAAGCGAGTTTGCTCTGTGTCCTCAGTGAAAGTGACCTGCATCTAGATTTTGTTTGGTTTTGTCTACAGTGGGGAAAAGGCCTTTGGTGTACTGAATTTTGCAAAACTCACAACTAACTGTTTGACCACACATCTACCTACATCTAATTAAGTGTTCACTGAAGTGACAAAAAAACCCCCAAAGAAACACTCAACGAGTTAGATGTATTAAATGTATGTGATTTTAAACAAACCAACAAGCATTTTAGTTTTTAAAGGAAATTCTGTCATTTGTGACTGATTTGCCTTGCAGACAAAATCTGTTCTCTATATATAACGTCCTAACTTCCCATCCTTAAAACATGTCATAGTTTATAGACTCCTAGTGGACACCATAAACAGATATTTTCAATTTTTCCTGAAATTGATCAAACGGTATTTGACATGTAGTTGGTAGTAGCTTTGACAGGCTATGTGTCCCCCTACAGTGTGTGTGTCTTGCTCTCCCTGTCACAGGTGGTGGCAGAGCTCAGTGTGTGATTGGTTTTGAGGGGAGCGCCGCGCTGACATTTTGAGCAGCCGGTGTAAACCGCGGATGCGCATTGCCCAAAGGCCTGCCAGGGGCAACTTGGCACCTGACCCGCAAGGTCATTCTGTACGTAGGTGCTGCTCCGTGTCTGTCTACCTCTGCTGTTGCAGTTCCTATTTATTTTTTTATTAATTTCATCTAAAAACTATCATTAAACTGGTCATGAATTATTCCCCCTCTCCCCACCCCTTTACACCACTGCCTTTTTCCCAAATTCTTCCCATTCCCTTAACTCAGAATAGTTCGTTCACCATCTATCTACACATATTAGATTCTGCTTTGTCATTTGGCTCGATGTTTTTCCAGTGGACTTCCATGTCATGTATGTAGCCTGCCCTCTCTGTTAGATGCTGCCAGGGTTGTTGCAGATGCTACTGTGACATTCTTGTAGACGAATAGGAAAAATATTGAGAGTCATGTAAAAGAAATGATTCTTCCTCCACACAAAGACCATTTACATACAATTTTAGCTTCATGACTGCCTCTTGGAGACTCGCATAGAAATCCATTAAACCCAACAATTGCCAACCTTAACTTAAATTACTGGTAATTCATGAGTTAAATCCTGTAAAATTAATTTGGGATTTATTCCTACAAAAAACCTGTCCCAAGCATTGACAGTACAGACGCTCCCCAGCTAACGAACGAGATACGTTCCGAAGGATCGTTCGTTGGCTGAATTCATACGTAAGTTGCTTCAGTGCTATATTTTGTATGGAATTCATGTTTAAGGCTTATATAAGTATGTTTAAGGTTTATATAAGTATAATAAAATGAAGTTTAACTTACTTTTGGAAGATGTACTCGAAGGCTTCAGGAGATGATGGAGGGGGAGAGAGTTCCGTCTCGAACTTCTTCATGGGGACAGGCGTTTCCTCCTCCTCCTCCTCCTCTCACAGCGCCTCACGTCGGTATTAGCGGTGGAAAGAAGTATTACAGTACTCGGAAAAAGGCGCGCAATACAAAATCTAACTGACAGCATCTCTGTCCGAGAACATTTTTCGACATACCTGTACCCGCAAAAATTTTCGTATGTACCGTTGTTCGCAACACGAAAGTTCGTAAAGCGGGGAGCACCTGTACTAGCAGTTCACAAGCCACTCTTTCACGCAAATGATGCAAACAAGCTGAGGGCTGAAATTGCATATTCAAAATGTTATCAGGTGTTTCACCGAATCCCACTTATACTGATTAATGCAGGTCATAGCGTTACATTTTTTAAAAACTTTTTTTATGTGCGAGTGTGTGCATGGATGTGTGGGTGCTTATGTATACTTTGCCAGAGGTGTCAACCCTTTGGCCATAAAATATTCTTTTCTCTTGCAGTATCTGTCTCTCTCCGTAGGCTTCCGCCGGAGGTGCGAGCCTATTGTAAACAGAGAGAACTAAAACTGAAAGGGGAAACCAGTGGAGTAACATTATGTTACCTTAAGTTACTACTTGTTTTATTTTCTCTTTTTTTTTTTGTTAACAGTATATGAGTAATTATGTAATCATATTCATCTTATTGACTAATGATTTAAGCAGTGTATGTAGTTAAAGGATTTTGTAGTTTGATAAAGCTGAGAATATGTTTCAAATGTTAGTTACGTTGTAGTCAGCCAAAATGTGATTGAATATTTCATAGAATTGTCAGATTTTGAGACGTAGCCTTGCTTTTTGTGTAGCATGTGCACTTTTGTTTGCTTTGAATTTTTTTTCCAGTAATATGTCCATTGACACAGAGCATCACCTAATTGTCTTTAATGTAATTGTTAAGCACTTTTTGTGCAGACAGTAATGGTAGACCTTTAATAGTACAACTAAACAATTCGCATCATTCCATGGATTTTAACAGAGCTTTCTTCACTTTGCAGGTGTTCTTGTGGAACATGGATAAATACACGTTAATCCGGAAGTTGGAGGGCCACCACAATGACGTGGTGTCTTGTGAGTTTTCACCAGATGGGGCGCTGTTGGCCACTGCCTCCTATGACACGCGGGTCATTGTCTGGGATCCCCACAAGGCCATGATCCTTCTCGAGCTGGGGTAAGACCTTCTTCATTCCCAATTCTTCAATAGTTTACTTTTCACCCTTAACTCTGTGTGTGTTTGTGTGCAAGCGCATGTGCGTATGTGTGTGAGCATGCTGAAGCCAAACTAGAAATTTCGAAAAAGTTACGACCCAATAAGTGAGTGAATAAACATGGAGAGTGGAGATAAAAAGTCAACACACACCTGTTGAAATGTCAATTTTTTTATTTGGTGATGTGAAACGATGAGACCAAGATGAATAATTTAAAAACTTTTTTGCCCCGCTTTTATGCGGAATATAAGTCATACAACTTAAATTGGAAAAACATACCTCTTTGGGCAAAATAAAAGAAAAAAATGTTACAGCACCCGGGGGGCTGTACGGACTTGAGAATTATGGAAATAGCATTTTCCAGTTTATTCAAAAGTTGTTTAAGAGCTAGCCAGGTTGCCAGAAGATTTGTATGTGGCAAGAAAAAAATGTACACACATGGACAAAGTTGTTGGTACCCTCATTCATATACAGCTGAAACTACAACAAATGTATCAATATTAATGAAATAACGCTAGACTTTGAATTATTTGTTTTATTCTGTTCATCAAATCAAATGGATCTTTTTTCCAGCCACCGCTTTCCTCCGCCATCACCCATTTTTGCTGGAGGGTCAAATGACCGCTGGGTGCGCTCTGTGAGCTTCTGCCCCGACGGCCGCCACATCGCCAGCATTACTGATGACAGGTAAGAGATTCATCTCCTTTTCCTCATTGACTCTTTAAAGAACAGCCATGGTCACTGCAAGTGACCTTTGGAGTCTCTGGTTTCTATGCTGGGGTCATACTGGGTCTACCTCCTGGCTCACTTTGGATGGCTGGGCTTTTTCAGCTATGCATGACGCTGCTTGGATCGGAAGCCTCGTGTTGAGCCCGCTGTGGCGTTCTTAATCATGTACCTGGAAGAGCCTCTTCAGTGGGCTGTGCGGTGCCCTTGCCCTAAGAGTGATGTGACTGATGACCTAATTGATCCGGCACACATCGTTTGTTCCTCCATCTTTTCAGAGCTCTTGGACTCTGTTTTTATATTGTCGCTACTGCGACCTTCTGTGCGTTTGCCCAGCTTTTTGTTTCTTCTGGGGGGGGCCTTCCAAGGGAGCTGCCCTCTCCAAACAGTGCTTGTCTCGCTGGATTGTGGATACCTTTCGTCAGTCTTTTCCTGCGTCAGACTGCCCCTAGGCATTGGGGATGCCCCTTGACATTGGGAGTGCTTCATCCTACCAGGTGTGTTGCAACATCTTGGACTGCTGTGTCGGGAGTGCTGCTGCTTCCTGGTCATCGCCTAGCATTCTCTCTGGATTTTATAGTGTGGATGTTTCCACTCCGCTTCTGCCCGGTGTGGTTTTTGGCTCTTCGGAGGCCTCAGTGAGGTTTGGATCTGGGATTCCTCGTGACTTTGTTGGTATTTAAGCATTTCGTGCTTTAAGCACTTCCCCTGGAGGGATGTCAAAGAATGACATTTACAAAGCTATGGTTCTATGAGTCGCAAACTCAGAATCCTTGTGTTCTCAGGGACTATCTTCGCGGCGGATTTTATAAATGGCCTGGGTCACCTGGGGTTCACTAATGACGTTTGTTTGTATGTATTCTCGCCCCTGGTAGCCATTGGGCACTCATAGAACACTTGTTGTGTACATAACCCTGCTTTCAGTGTCCTCTTTGCTTATTGGAGTGGAAATATTCCATGTCTCTGTTAATGTTTTATCAGCAGCTTTGATTTCTTGGCCAGAGTTTCAGAACGTTTCCTACGTGGGGTGAATAAAAGCCAAGTTGTAGTCAAAAATGACTTAGTTGAACATTGTGCTATGTAATGATGTTTGTTCAAGGATCGTGGCTTATCTCAGCGTAAATATGATTCAGATAAATGTGTCCTAAATCAGTGCTTCTGTGTGGTACCAGTACCACTAGTGATACGTAAACTCACTTCTAGTGGTACTTGAAAAGAATCACAGCCCAAGTACAGTTTAGTTGTATTTACATTTTTCGTACACCTTTTCGATCTTGAGGTGCAATGTTGAAACTATGCAGAATGTCACAGAGACTTGCAGTAGTACTATTTTCTTGAACACTGTGACCTATTGCTGTATTTTAATGTTGACAATTTTGGTGGTACTCGGAGGACTCAGTGTTGTTTTAGGTAGTACTTGGTGTCAAAGGTCTGAGAACAGCTGTACTATACTCAGCATTTTCAGCGTCTCCTTAGAAAAACAACCCTGCAGTTCAAGTATGACGCAGCATGGCACAGCAAAAGTAAACAAACCGAGAACTGTAGGATTCTGACTGTCCATCTAATCAACAACGCTTTTGTCTGCACTCTTTCCTCGACTAATAGGCTTCCCGTGTGCATGTAATCAGCAATGCATTGCAGAAAAGCTCCACTGTTTGCTGTTTGTTTCTTAAAATCTGGAGTCATTCCTCTTGACGAAGTGCACAGAGTAGCTACAGTATGTGGCTTTGTTCTGATGAGTCACATGGCTGTCACCACGAGGCTGTTTATCAAGCTTACTGCAGGCTGACCAAGCATTGAACTTTTGTTTTGGAGCGAAGCGTGAGATCGACAGGCGGATCGGTGCAGCGTCAGCTGTGATGCGGACTTTGTATCGGTCTGTCGTGGTGAAGCAGGAGCTGAGCCAAAAGGCGAAGCTCTCAATTTATCGGTCGATCCACGTTCCAACCCTCACCTATGGTCACGAGCTATGGGTCGTGACCGAAAGAACAAGATCCCGGATACAAGCGGCCAAAATGACTTTTCTCCTCAGGGTGTCTGGGCTCTCCCTTAGAGATAAGGTGAGAAGCTCGGTCAACCAGGAGGGGCTCAGAGTCGAGCCGCTTCTCCTTCACGTTGAGAGGAGCCAGATGAGAAGGCTCAGGCATCTGATTAGGATGTCTCCTGGACACCTCCCTGGTGAGGTGTTCCAGGCATGCCCCACCGGCAGGAAGCTCCGAGGACGATCCCAGGACACGCTGGAGAGACTGTGTCTCCCAGCTGGCCTGGGAACGCCTCAAGATACCCCGGGAAGAGCTGGAACAAGTGGCTAGGGAGAGGGAAGTCTGGGCTTCCCTGTTAAAGCTGTTGCCCCGTCACCTGACCCTGGATAAGCGGTAGAAAATGGATGGATGGATGGGAAGCATAAGGGAATTCCCAAAGATGATCCATGGAAGAACGCCACACTTTTTGTCCTGTAGCAGGACACCGGACATGATACGTTTCCGTTTGCAAGAGATCTAGAAAGTACAATTATGGATAATCGACCAACAAGGTGCAGTCCATCCCCTTGTTATAGTCTGGATTTGATCTTAAGTATTACATGTATTTTATCCTCTTATTTGTTTTCAAATCTCTACATGACCTTGCGCCACCTTACCTCTCTGAGCTCATCCGCCCCTACACACCTGCCCGGCGCCTCAGGTCTGCGGACCAGACATTATTAGAAGTACCAAGAACTAAACTGAGGCTCAGAGGGGATCGAGCCTTTTCTGTTGCTGGTCCCTCTCTCTGGAATGACCTCCCACTGAACATTCGGCAAGCCTCCTCGCTGCCCATCTTCAAACCCCGCCTCAAAACTCACTTGTATTCGTTTGCATTTAACTCAGCATGACTTAGATTTGTTCTTGGTTTTGCTGTTCGGTGCCTTGTACCGTCTTTATTACCGATTTGCTTTACTGTTTGTTGTATATGTCAAATTGCTCCATGTACAGCACTTTGTATGCAGCGATGGCTGTTTGAAAGTGCTCTATAAATACATCTCAACTCAACTCAACTTCTATTTAGTTGAGCAAATACAACTCAACTCAACTCAACTGTATTTATAGAGCACTTTCAAACAGCCATCGCTGCATACAAAGTGCTGTACATGGTGCAATTCAACATATACAACAAACAGTAAAGCAAATTGGTAATAAAGACGGTGGAAAGCACTGAACAGCAAAACCAAGAACAA